AATAGTTGACGGTAACATGCATTCTGTACTGGCTAAAAACATTATCTTCAATCCAGCTATATATGGCATTAAATGTGATACATCTGCGCAAACGCGGCAAATATCCTAAACTCACTTTGTGTTTGCCGTCAGCCACGAAAATAAAAGGCCCTATAAACCGTGCTCGTAATAATGGGTTCCTAGCTCTGTGTTAAAAGCAAGCACGATCCTCGAATACACCCCAGGATCCATTACAATCAGCTTGACATTTACGCGAGCATAACATCCCGTTTTGATTCGGCCGTCTTCTCGTGTTATACTTTTCCTTGAGGAGGAAAAATCAATTCCTTAATATCGTAATCATTGCTCAAATTTATGAGTGATAAGCCGACATGCGGAAGACGATTAAATTCTTTCTTTATCTCTGTGATTTGTGACTTGACATAATGCAGTTCAAGCTCATAGGCCTATAATAAGCTGACGCATTCCAAATTACGGTCTGCGCATGTTCTGAACTTCGTTTTATCAAAGGAAAATACTATGTCATGAATGGGGATGCTTCACACTGCTCCTTCAAAATGGAATTTGTGGCTCATTACGGTGTGTGACTTAAGACCTATGATGAAGTGACATGTGTACTTTCTCTGAAGATCGTCACATGATAAAAAGGTATTAAACATGAGCAGTCAATGCAGGCTAAATTGTAGACACGGCCTAACGCGTTGTTGCACCTTGGTCTAAAATTAAGTTTTTAACGTTTACATCGGATGCGACCTATAAGATTTTTGCCGATAATGTGATTCCAGATCTTCTCCAAAGAATCATTGTGGTCCAAGACGACACTAGTGTAGAATAGCTGTAGCTCTGTAATGACTGAGACTGGAATCTTGCATGAGCTTTTGCAGCACGATTACTCAGATAATGATAAGACGGTGTTTAGACGATTCACTACAGGGAGAAATTATGCTGCATGTAGATGCACAACTCGTATCCCATCCATAGGTATCGCCAGGATGGGGCGGGTGGGGGCGCTTGACCCCCCCCCCCCCGGAAAAGCACGTGCAAAAGCAAAAACAACAACATCAAAAGGAGTGAGAAAAAAAGGAAAAAAAAATTTAAAAAAGCGGCGCGAAGTCATATTGCTCTTAATATAATACACATTTAACAAAATGGGCGTCTGCAGGGGTGTCAATGGGGGTGGGGTGGGCAAATATCCCCCGCCCACTCTCGAAAAAAAAATATGATAAATTGAGAAGATGCTACAGAAAGTACAAGGATTTAGGGAACCACTTCTTTTTTTTTAAAGGGCACTTGTTCAGAAAAAAAGGGCACTTTTTTAAAAAAAGGGCACTCTTTACAAATTATTGCGGGGGGGGGGGTAAGCCCCCCCCCCCTTACTCTTATTTTATGAATTTATAACATTCTAGGTTCAGTCTGTTTCACCCCTTACTCCCCCCCCCCCTACGCCTATGAATACAGCAGCCGGAAAAATCGTAATCAAATTAATTTTTTTGAATATTGATATAAGACAGGTGGGTAGTCACCTTCAAGCAACTTGCCACTGCCATTTTGACAGAGATTATCAAGATATTAATTTTGTCATTCATGTCAATTTTATGAATTTATAACATTCTAGGTTCAGTCTGTTTCACCAGAATTTAGACAATTGTTCTGCATGCAACCATAATAGGGCAATCCCACCCACCGGGCATAAAATCGCGCTCGCAGAGATTACAAATCTTAAGGATCTTGATATTTAAGATGCTGAGTCCCCACGATCCCTCCCCAAGGAGGAACATATCGATGCTGCATCCTCTATATTCTCCTCGTCTCTCATATCATTAACGCAGGCTTTGAGTTCAACCATAAGAGATACCTTAAGGGCCAAGCATCGTTGGTATAATGCGCACACTTCGGAAGCTACGCACGTCCTGTATGATGTGTGTGAGTGAATACTCTAGATATTTTCTGAAGATAAGAGGCACGTGTACATCTTATTAGAGTGTAATGAAAGCAGGGATGAAATACGGAAGGCCATGGGCGGATTTATAGATCCAGATTTGAAGGAGCGAAGAACCGTATGGCAGCGATATTAGCTTTGGGGAAAACTTGCATAATAATTTACAGTAGGGTGCAATATTATCGTAGCTGACGTGTAAGTGCAGTGAAAGATAACAATGATGGGTGTGTTATGGTTACATGAATACATTATTGCTTTCAAATTTGAGCTTAGATTGCGAGTTCAATATTTTTTGAAAGAAGCCTTTAGTATTTCTTAATATCTTAATCTGATTTTAGTGTTGCTGTTGTGCTTGTTTTGTTGTCATTTTCATATTTTCAAGTTACAATTTCGATGATGAAATTAAATCTTCATATTGACGTCATTTGGTCTGCCTATGGACAACAGATTCATTTCATGTGTTATGGATAAGTAGGGGGCCTATGCCTTAAGGCGGAGTTTGAGGGCAGTTGTTTTGTATTTCCCAGATAGGCATGAGTAAATCATTTTGTGGGTTCATTGTAAAAAAAACCCTTAAAATAACAAAGATCCCCCTCTGAGATACCTGCAACGCATAAAGTCAATCTACCAGGCACAACCCATGAAAAAGTTTCATGATCATTGTTCACGTGCTTGGTGAATCAAAATCATGCATGCCGGTCGATATTTCCTTTAGTTTTCAGTGTTCATGTGTCAAACAGTCCACTGCACACTTTACAGTCTTTTCTTTCAAACCAGAGCTCAACTCCAGTTCTTAACTCAGTTTAACAACCGACTATAAATAAAAATGCACCCGGAAAAAATGCACTCCTGCAGGCAGTTACCAGTCATGTACAATCTTTAATTAACCCCCGCCCTATCAACAACCATGCTCTGTAACCTACAAACCACAATAAATTCAGACAGTCTTGCTTACTCATTAAACCACAACTTGATACATTCACTCGTCATCCATTCAGTCCTTACAAGACGGGAAGGTTAGTCCTTACAAGACGGTCAACCTTCCTCCCTGTTTTATTTACCACATCCTTCCCGAATTTAGGTGAAGGATTCTTTCCAAAGCAAGACTTTCGTTTTCATGCCCTTTTCATTTTCATTTTAAGTGGGGCCAACTGATAGGTTTGCAAGCGCGGCCATGCATGCCAGAAGCTCTAAGAGACCTGTCAAGCGTACTTCACGTTGCCTCACCATCAACCTGCCTTCTTTTTCTGCTCTCTTTCCCCGCTCCATTTTCCCCCGAGAGTCCCTAGCCGGACCCCGCTTCTCCCAGAAAAAAAAAAAAAAATGACATAAAATCGATGGGTCCAAACATAGTGCATCGAAATTTCGCAAACGCAAACAGGAGCGCATTTACATGACCACGCGCAGTCTTGCGCGATCGGAGAATTTCCGGGTGCTGTACCGTATGGCGTATTGACGTCATCTCTTAAATGAGAGAGACAAAAATAGACCTAAAAACACTCGGAAAGAAACGAATCTGGTTTCAAAACACTCGTATAGGGATGGATGTTATTCAGTGATACTAAGAAAGAAATTACATTATGTGAGGGATATAAATAATCAGTGAGCCATCAGTGGCGCATGTGCCCAAGTTTGTACGACAATGCATGATGACAAAGATGCATCAACTTCGATGTAATTCCCTGCTGATTAAAAAGGGGGAAAGCGGAACACAGGCAAAGAAACGCGCTGTGATTTTGGCTGGTAAATGAAGCAGAACAGAATTCGACATTTTACTGAATTCCTTGGACCCTCCAACTCACCCAGGCGTGCTCTCCCCGGCCACTAAATCCTGAAGACATTCTCCTGCGGAAACTGCAGTGTATCTACTTTCCTGTCAGTGGAGATTATTATCTCTCTCATAATTCATCACTGCTTTTGCTTCGTGATTATTTATTAAGAGTCGCCGCATCGAGATTTTGTTTATGCAAACCCCACCGGATTATGCACAGCGAGGCATTCTCGAAGCGTGCCGATGTATGCTGTACATGTACTTATAGCAACATTCCATCATTATAGCCCAGACGCAGCTATATTGTAAATGCCACGGGCGTTATTTGCTCAATCAGACTGCATGTTCTGATATTATTTGGTTATTATGAATTGGTGTAATTATACTGTTTCTGTTGCAATGCGTCACTGTCAACCGAAGGGAGTCGACAACCCTCGAAGCATTTCGTCGAACCATCTTTGTGTTGCCCATCGTGTAAAAACGCATGTGACTTGTAAGTTTTAGGTCAAATGATTGTGTGGAGTAGGCCAAAATGATCTACAATCACGTTTTGCCATTGACCTTTCAAATATCCACGGGGAGGCAGGATTGTGGACGGCGCAGCCGCAGTTGCGTTGATACTATGCAGATCAGCCTCATTAATGCGCGACTGTGGACCAATCAGTGCTAATGATTCACTGCACGCACCAAGCTCGTGTTACGGTGTGTATGTAAAAGTAACCCACTGCAATGTCGTCTGCGTCATTAATTTCAGCAATGCGATACGAAAAAGGTCTTGCAGCGTGCTCTAGTTGTTTTTAAAAGAACAGTGTCATTATATGCAAAGGATCACTTTCTTCGGCATGTCTTGCTGTGTTGGTTCTCCGATATTGCTGGATCAACTTTGAAGTTCAATTGAACTTAAAAGTTGTTTATCGGAAAATAAAAATGACCCATGTTATTGACTAATACTAATAATCAGAACATCATCAATCTTGCCTTGACAATGCTAACATGTTGATAGTTACTATTACTTGTATTTTGCAATTATCCAAATCATTCATGTTAGTTCAAGGTTCCAGATGAGTGCAAAGTTTTACTGATGCGCCAGAATTTGTAGCAGTTTGTTTGCTTATACCTCTAAAGATCAACGTGGCAATGTTCATTTTCTAATTGTTTCAGCCTTTTTTGTTGTTGTTGCTTTGTTGGGTCCGTTGAAGTGTTCAGCTACAGTCATCTATATATCAGGCGGTGTGTGTGAAACTAGTGACTGATATTTATTAATTTGCATTTTTTTCTTTCAAATTTCAGAAACTAACACAAACACAGCTCCGTACAAGAATTGAACTACTACCTACAACACAACTGCCAGTAGTATTGACATCTATTGGATCGTTGAATTGACTCAGAGAAGGCATTTCTGAGTGCAGTTGCACGCACCGAAAAATTGTGATCATTGAGCAGCTTCCCGCCATTTCCTGTTTTTGGCGTGAACGGAATTAACCACGCCACTAGTATGGCTTCCCTGAATTGACCTGAGGCGCTCTTCCAACCAAACCAAGAACACACGGCACTCATGAGTATGTCTGAAAGCTCCTCATCCGAAGACGAAATTTCAGTCTCTCCGCCCGGCTACGGAGTCACGTTCAGCATCGGCGGCCTACCGCTGACGGCCGGACCCTTGCCCGGGTCGTCCAGCGCTGGGGGCCCGCGGGGCTCCCCCAGTGAGACGGTCAACCACCCTGGAGAGCCCGAGGACGATAACCGGCGGCGTGAGCAGGAGAAATGGGCCATGCTTGCCGGTCAGGCCGCTTACAAACTGGAAGCGTACGTCTTCCATCAAGTGCTGCCTGATGAGTTTATCAAACCGCACATCTTCCCCCGTAACATCACGGACATGGAGGCTCTGATCCGAAAATACGGCAAGAGCGGCGAGGCAGTAAGGCTGGAAAACGCTAAAGAAAAATGGAAGCAGCTCAAGAACAAGTGGCGGTGGACTAAAGCACACACTGCCGCCCTCAGCGTGATAAAGTTCGCCTATCTGCACATTTCCAACCCTTTGGAGGTCATGATGCGACTAGATCGGAACGATGGGGAGAGTTTGACGGAGACGCGACGAGCATTCCTCAAGGCGCTACCCACGGAGCTCTACGATGCTGGCAACCAGATCGTGGAAATGATGCACGATGCAAACCTGCTCAAAGACGAGTCTTCCATAAACCAAACATAAAAAAGTTGGTTTTTATGCCAAAATAATGACATCTAAAAATAACTAAATATAAATCTATTCTGTACATATAGATTTAACTTGCTCAGAGAGTCGAAATGCATACAAACGCACCTTATTGTGAGTGCGCAGGGAATCGTTCAGAATAAAAAATTGGTGTTTTTTTTCTGCCTAGTCGTGCGTTTGTATGCATTTCGTATCAACGGGGACGTGTGATCACTTTATGGTGCTTTTAACAGGTGTTGAAGGTTTCACCACTGGTGATTGTGAATGGAACCTGTAACACCCTTTGGGGACGAAATTATACCCACTTACATCTGTACTCCAAAGACTATATACTGGGAAAAGATCAAAATTTAAATGTTGCATATTCTTAAAAGGACAAACCCGGCTGCATTAAATTGACATGTTAAAAAAATTGGCATAACTTTGGAATAATTCTCATAGCATTATTGAACTGTCCAAATAAAAAGAGAAATTGCATTTTGAAAGAAAGTTATAACATTGGTATCAAAATCACGTTGACAGCCCCAGTTTTACATTTTTGGTAGAGTGTTCTGAGATTGCGCCGTGCTGAATTTATCTCAGATGAAATGCACATGCGCTCACATCATGATTTTTTTGTGTGAACTGTGGGGGTGTTCGTGAGAGAAAACCGTTCAGGAAGCTTTTTGGATCGACGCTGCTGCATTTACAAAAGACATGTCTTCCAAAATTGAAGCCATTATCGTTTGATTAGCAATCAAAGAAGGGTTTATAATGCCGACGTTATGAAAATCTTAATGTTTAATCTCCACCAGGTGGTCACGTTGGCTCTGATATGGCGCGGAGTCGGCATAACCACTCTTTCAAATTCATTTGATCATCCATGCCGGCAATGGTTATACATGTCGATTGTATCGAAATCGGATATCAGTTCATGCAGGTTGTAAATGCAATTTCATGTTTTCAAGGAGAGTTGGTAACACTATTGTATTAATGATTTTTCCTGTTCATTCCAAATATTAGTCTTAAACGGATTCAATCACGAGACACTAATACCTTACGTTTGTGTTGAATGAGCATGCCGTTTTTTTTAGGAATGTTTCAAAATTAATGGAAAAATCTATTTTGGGAAGGGGATATTAATATCCGTGACATCTTTCGTTTCCATGGCAGCTCTTCACAAAACTACTCTCAGATTCTTACGTCAATTATGAAATACTGAGTGACATTCAGGGATGCTCAAATCGAAGTAAACATGAAGCTGAAGTCATAGGTATTGTACCCTGTATCCCTGGGCCTTATGTTGATACTTCAAAGATAAAGAGCCCGCCGACACTTAGGAAAATAAATCTGGTTTGGATATATATTTTTTTATTTTTGGTTTTGTTTTACCGCGAGTGGAATAAACAACACAAGTTTTAACACATACATTATAATAAAGGTACATTTGGACAATTTTGTTTATGGTGATGGCATGCAAATCGGATTTTTTTTAAGTGTTAATATTAATTCCATGCAATGTGCTATTAAGTTCTTTCACATCGTTCTGAGATCATCCGTCCACCGTGATAGGCAAATTCTTCTTAATTATAATTTTGTTGAATTATATTAAATTATTGTTTTTAATATATACTTGGATAAATTTGGTTGACCTCTGTAAAATCAAAACGTAACAAAACGCCCTGATCATACTTCAATAAACATTATGTCTTTTAAATGCCATTTTGCAAATTTGATCGAGAAAGTTTCGGCCGGTTGAAAAGAACTTTGTAAAATGTAATTTGTAACACTACAAAAACCATTTGGGTGATTATAAACTAAATGTGTATATATATATATATTTTAAGCCAAAGGATTTTTTTGTTTTAAATACAAAAGGGTGATCGTATTTATATAGAGAGACTTCCAATATATTTTGTGTGTGCAGTTCTGTATATTTTGATTTTTATTATGTAAAGAGCATCGATTGATTTTTATATAATTTTGCAACTTTGTGTTTTGTTCACTCGTCATTTGGTTCATGGATTGTTGCATCGCTGAAATAGTTTTTGTTTAAATTATGTTTTTAAGACTACGTCTGTTTCCTTCTAACAAGTGGTCCATGTTGAAAAGTTATATAACCTTACACCTTGGTTTCAAATGCGTGGTTAGTATATAATTGCATAATTCATGTACATGTAGTATATACCATTACTTTAACTGTGTTGAGGGTAAAATATCTCTATTGCGGTTATGAAAACGTGCAACGTTTACATTGTACGTGTATGCAAGTGCATAGAATGTACAGCGGGAAAATACTCCGGAACACTAACACCATAAACCTTGCAAAATAAAATCTCTGTTATGTTTTAACATTAAAAGAAAAGAAAGCAAAAGCTAAACCTTTAAGTTAGACACAAACGTGCATGCATGGGTATCACCTTGTTGTGTGTTGGGTGTAGGCCTGTATTTTTTTTTTTTAATGGCGTGACAATAAATTGACTTTGTGTTTGTGTTTTTATTTCAAAACGATCGCTCGTTTGTTCCCATTCTTTCTGTCTGTCTATCATGTGATGATTCTAATGAGTAGAGCCAGGTGCATTCTAATCGACCGAGGCAGCCTGCAGCAGATCCTGACAAGATATCAACACATTTTTGAGAATCCGATGGAGGAACTTGCATGCCTTTAATAGGGGCCTAAGCTTCTCACAAGACATGTTTGTACACGCCAGCCTGCATGATCCAACATTAAGTTCAAACAAATGCTGAAAAGTAACCGCTAATTAGGCCAAATATTAATTAGTTCTGCTTCCGCTTACATGGCATATGAAAATAGGGTATAGGTAGGAAGGTTTTTTTTTGGGGGGGGGGTATTTTTGTGTGTGTACGATCATTATGGAGGTGTCTGCATGTAGTCAAGAATAAAAGGTAGTAATTGATGCATGGTTTTCAGGTTTATTTCCTCCTTTTCCCCACACGAAATTAGGGTAGGGGCTGTCAAAATAGGGTAGGCATAATAGTATACGACATATTAAGGAATTCCAAACGGGTAAACGGCATAGAGGGTCATTATTTTGCTTTCCATGCATTTTGTTCGTTTCCAATACTAACACCACTCAAAATCCAATGACGAATTATCAAGACCAAACCTGTTGAAGTTTCAGCTCAGTGGATACAGTTACTTCCGGGATAAATGCAAATGATCTTAATTAAATGCCTTTTAACATGCATGTCAACAGGCTCATTTTCAGCTCGGAAAGAATGTTGGATCGATTTACGACCCCAAAAACTGGAAATTGAGGTTTATATAGGTGAAAGTCATTCTCTTTAAACTTAAGATAAGTAGGAAGCGAGGGGAAAGTTGTAGAGTGATAAACCCCATCGTCTTAATAATTCTTAATTATGGATTCTTCCGTTTGGCTGAAATCTTTCAGTATCTTTGCAAGCAAAGCAAGCAGAACAATGAATCAGTCTGGCACCCTCCCACTCAGAGGGGGAACAACAAATACATTGAATTCGAGGAACACGATCTACGGATATTATGGAAGGGAAGTGTGCAGTGAAGTATGCCTACATTCGTAGCGCAAACTATTCAATGATGCAACTTAGAATCATGCAATAATTTGTGCTACGAATAGCCACGCATTTTATGCAGCGCAAACGCAATGTATAATTCACCTATATTTCCAGTTTGGTAACTTTTTGTAAGAGTCTAATGCTGTCAAATTAAATGGGAATTGTCCAGGGCTAAGCTAACATCAAACATACAACCATGAGAGGTCAACGATAGTCATTATATAATCAATTCAGTGATGGCCAAAAGAGATATTCGACCCATGACTATCCAGCCAAACCAGGGACCACTTTGGTCCGTGACCAAACCAAGTTTTACCGGCGATCGAAGACGATTTCAATAGCCACGGTAGCGTCTTTTCATTCCGAGAGTGGCATTCAGCGTAGGCAAACTGAGTAAAAGTATTGTCAGATGAACCGGCTGCATCGATCGGTGTAACATAGATGCAACAGACCACTAAGGAACAGGTGGAAAATCCACAAAGTAGAAATCAATAAGGCCAAAACCATGGTCTGATCATCAACGTGACGATATTATGTAGGTGCAGGTTTTGAGTTGTACTTTCTTGAAATTCCTTTATTCGTTCATAACACTGTGTTTAAATTATATACCATTGTTTTGGAATGAAATTATAACCATCAAAAAAAGAATATAGTCTGGTACATAGTTCGATTATTGTGCACAAAGGTAAATTTGTCTCCATAACAGAAGAAAATTTCGAGATCCGCCGCTGGCCAGACTGCAAATGGCTGCATGACGGGGTTCGAACAGTATCGATTGCAGTCAACAAACGTAAACAGACAACAAAATCTATTTAACGTTGTAAACAACCGTGAAGGTTGTCTGATGGTACGCACAATACATTGAACCCTGCGTTGGTCTTGCATTGATAAGCTAATGGAATATCGGTCGCTCTACATTGTCATTATTTGTTCAAGCGTATGCTTGCATATAATTTAATCTATTTGATTCCACATGTAACTTCCCCTCAACGTTGATAATGACAAAGAGTGTCGAAATTGAAAGACACTCTGAGTGCCATTGCATGCAGTGCGTTCGCCCGCGTTTAGGTGCATTCGTCTTAATACGCGCAAATGGGTTCGTGCCACTGATCTCATCGCAAGAAAAAACATGTGTAGATCTAGTGGTTCGTGCACAATAGTTCCTAGAATAGCACGTCAGGTCATCTTGTGGACAAACTGGCATTTGACCATCTTTCTTTAAACCATCGCCATTTTTTAATGTAGGCTTTATTTTCAAAGACTGCGTAGACCAAACGTGTACAGATCTATGAAACACGAATTACTGCCATAGACTAATTATGCGTAAACAAAGAAGTTTTTGACAATTTTTTCTGTAAATGACCACTTTTTCCCCCAACGCTTAGTCCATACATGGAGGAAGGAAAACAGATTGTCCATTGTAGACCTATTGTCGGTTTTTTAGGTCAGTTCCACTGCCCGAATTTAATACAAAGTGCGGTCATGTCGTCCCCCAAAATCCACATTTTATTTTTTCAAATTGGTCATAATCACGGGGGAATGGTATAGCCTACAAGATAGAGTGTATTGAGTCGTTTTATTTGGGGACTGGTACCGGGGGTCGTGACCAGTACAGCCCGGTCTATCCACACTACCCTAGCTTTAGGATAACGGATGTTAAAGACCTGACCTGAGGTCTTACTGACCGGATCTGTTCATGATATATCGAGCTTTGTATGGTAAGCGGGTCAGGTATAGTAGGTGAAGGTTTGTGGTAACAACACATGACATCAAAAAATCTCTTTGATTATGATTTAATTGTGTGGTTCTGAGAACATTAAATTCATCACTTTCAAACCATCTTCTCACTTCATTTAGACTGTTCTAATATATGACACAGCGCCTACATGCTCGAAACGTTTCCTCACACAGACTTGCACCATACATGCACTGTACAACAGTTGGGCAAAATGGGTTGATAATGCGACCAATGATGGTCGAATTATCAACTGCCTAAACTCTCGGGCAAATTCTTGCCAATAGTTTGACAGTTTTTACCAACCCAATATGAGGTAATTTCATAGTCATACCAATGCTGGGTTAATTACAATACATTGCCCAACAGTGCAGTGTCTTTTAAAATGAATTTACTGTCACAATGGTATCAATGGTCTACTCACAATCCTAGACTGTACCTCAGCTCAAAAATCATCCGATTCCAAATTAATACCACTTATGCTTTTGTGCATAATATAAACCAATATATTATAGAGTTTTAGATATTTTGTGACTGTCATAACATGTAAAGTAAAGTGACATTTTACTACGTGTCTGCTTGAATTGAATTAACGAAAAGTAATCATTGAAGTTTTGATTAACCAATGTTGAATTTTGAACCGGATTGGACTTGCCAACGAATCGATATACCCACCTTTATCTGTAATATTAATAGTAATAGCCATTGTATAAATAATTATTTTATCGAATCAGATTAAGCTTTACAAGCTGGCTGCGTCAACAAAGTTTCACTATAATCTTGCGGAATTAAAGGGAATTCAAAGTGATTTCTACAGCATTTTCAACTTCTTAAAAATGTTGTATTAAATGCTTTGAGTAATTCCTCTTAAAGGTTTCTTATTCATGATCGCCCCATAATAGTTGGGGTTAAATAATACCTCCATGATCGCGCAGAGTCGATAAAGCGCTGTCACATCGCCCAAGTGCGGATTTTTCCCCACTGTATGACTATAATTATTCTACTTGAAGATGGCTGTGTCTCCCGAGCAATTTAAAATTGATTGAAATTTTAATAGATGCGCTGTGAAAACACTCCCTCGACTGTGTGGATCCCCCCATGGCCTGTTATGCCCCGCCCACATTCCCTTCCATCCTCCTCCTCATTATGTCTGCATCCAAGATGTAAACAATCCACTCATATTTTTACAAAGGAAAGTGACCTTTGATCTCGTGGGAAGAAAAACATCAACACGCTGCCTGTATTATAGCTTAAGAGCTAGTGCCCTAGCTGTCAAGTGTATCGAATGGTGTTTCTTTTAGGTCCACAGTCGAAGCGTATTTCCTTTTTATCTCAACGTGATCTCTACTATATGCACTCGTCGATGAACGTGTATTTGACGCGCTATTTATAGCCTCTTTACTCTGAGTATTAGGTAGATCCGCTTCATACTAGTCAAGTGCACTATGACCGATACTTCTGTAATACTTCACATGGCTGGCGCGTGGCGATCACATGCACATGATACGCACTGATAGTTAACTAGTTTCTCGATAACCCCGGTAGCCTACGGCGCGGTATGCATAAAGAAAATACATGTAAAGTTACACTCGTTCGCAATCATCCTGGCTGAATGAAGATTTTCTTTTTAATGTGATAAAAAAATTACCTTTTTATACCGAATGAATAATTAAATTAATTAGAGCAATAATGCTACATCAGCTCATTATACGTGCCATATAGGAAGGGAAGCGAGGTCGCAAGGCTTGCAAAACGGAGTCGCATCGTATTATTTTTGGCTAAATTTATTTTATGCAAGAATTCATTAGATTATATTACGCTTTCCACTCGTACTCTGAGCTTCTTTTTCAATCCAAACGCGCCATAAATGCAAGTTGAATTCAGAAAAGTGCCAGGGCCGCATACCACCTGACGGTCCTTGAAAACGACTGCAGTGCTCTCGATGTCCACGGTGGGCATTTTCTCTCCCCTGGCATTTATCGGATGTCTGCGCAAGTGAAAATGGAGTATTTTGTTATACAAATAACGAATGTTTGTGAGTGCGATGGTAAGAATAATTTCATGAGGTGACAGATTGAATGTTCTATTCCACGAGGCGAAGCCGAGTGGAATAGAACATTCAATCTGTCACCGAATGAAATTATTCTTTCCATCGCACGAACGTAAAACATTCGTTATTTGTTTTATACAACACCTGAATAAATTCTCGTCATTTGATTGG